CCCAAACTCCTGCAGGCAACTATTCTGAAAGGCACTTAGATGCTGTCCCAGGTCCCTGGGGGGCCGCCAGGATTCCTACACGAGCAGCAAGTTGGGTAGCAAGGGCCATCCTGGGGTCAGGGGTGGGTGGGTGGGTGGGTGCATGGCCTTGGACCCTTCATCATCAGGCGTACAGAGAAGCAGGGGGTAGCGGCCAGTCCCAGAGAGGACATGATTTTGGATCAAATGACAGCAGAGCCAGGAGGACCTGGGCATGATGTGGTGGGTGTGAACTGGCTCAGGGACCCTCCCCTCCTCTGCTCACTTCAGCCCCACCTGCTCTCTGCTCTGCTGGGAGGAGCCTTATGCTAAGCCAGATGCACCCTTAAACTTATTCTTGAAGTAGGCGCTCAGAGCCCGCAGCTTGGGGCCGGAGAAGGCCTGGGTCGAGGAGGCCAACCGCAGGTTCAGACAGCTGAGGTACCTCTCCAGGCCCTGCTGCGGGTCGTCACGGTGCGCGCTCAGAAGCTCCTGGAAACCCACCTTGCGCAGGGCCAGGAGCCCGGCGTCGGGCCGGGACAGGACGGCTGCTTTCACTAGCGGCTGCAAGGAGCTGAAACACTGCAGGCTGCTGACAGAGAAGATGTTCAGAGTCAGGCGTGGGCCCAGGCGGACCTGGAAGTGGCGGCACAGGTCTCGCATGGCCAGCACGGCTTCCAGAGCGTTGCCCTCCTTGATGCTTCTCCCCAGGTAGGTCTCAGCCAGGCTGTTGAGCAGGTAGCTTGTGGCATTGGGCACAAGTCCCCGGATGAGGGGCAGGAAAGCCAGGAAGCCGGACGTGGCCTTCTGGAAGGCATCCAGCTTGTCCATGTCCTCCAGGGCCCGGAAGAAGATGGGGATCCTGGGCCCCCATGGCGCATAGCAAACCAGGACAGGGTGGTGCAGGGTGTTCAAGAAGCTGATGAAACGTTGTATCCCTGTCTCCAGGGACACTGCCATGGAGGGGACTCTGATGGCAATGGCTTGGGGCTGGAGGATCACACAGAACTTGTCCTCACGGTTCACAGCTGCCAGCTGGCTAATCTTCTGGGCTGAGTAAGAGAGAGGGGACAGTGAGGCATCTGCAGACCCCACTGGTGTGGGGCTTGCATGGCTCCTGGCGCTGATGACCACCCCTGGCGGGGAAGAAGGGAGAAGCGACAGGGCCACGCTCCTCTGCAGACCTGGCTCTCCTGTGGAGGATACGGCTTTAGGATTCCATGTCCAGCCATGAGCCTGAACCCAGCCACTGCAGGCTGTGTCCACAGTGCCAGCTGTCACTTAGCCAGCCGGAAGCCCTAGGAGATGAAGGGATAGTGGATCTGCCTCCCCACACCCACCCATGCCAGCTCCACTCCAAGGAGGTGGCACCCAGAACCAGCACCGAGACCTGCAGTCACACCTGCCCCTTCTGGGCGGCTGAAGTGACTCCCCCATGTCAAGTCGGCTTGGAGAAGCGGACAGAGGCATGGCAGTGGGGCAGAGCTGGCATGGTGTGGAGCGGGGCAGCATATGGGTCATCTATTTCTGTGACCATGGTTCTGTGGAGTCAGCTCAGTTTGCTCCCTCACCACCTGGCCCCTTCGCCCGAGCTCGGAAGTGTAAGGCCACGGACCGGGCTGGGGTGAGCAATGAGCTGGAACTCAGCACGCAATGTGGGGTCCTGACATGGGTAGGTGCAGGTCACCAGGGGTGTACCCGGAGTCCTACCCGCTCTGCCGCAACTCCCAGCCATCCCAGGCCCCGGCACCTATCATGGGGTCTTAGAGGTGGGGAGAACGCACTTTCATTGTCAATCTTGAGTTCAAAGAACACCAGAGCGTGGCTGTCTTCTGAGGGGGGCTCAGCGCCGTTCTGGTCCTGGAGCCTTGGGGATCTGGGGCCCTCCAGCTTCAGGTCCCTGGACTCATTGCTCTTGCTGTCCAGCTCTTGGCGGGGCTGCAACACAGGAGAACCCACAGGTCAGGAGGGGTGGCTGCAGGCATGCACCCAGGCCACATGTGTGTACATGCATGTAGGAGCACGAACAGCTGTGACCTCAGTGTGTGCCCCTGTGTTGACACCTGCATGTGGAAGTGTGCACCTGATTGGGCATACACACACATAGCTGGAGGGGGTGGCAACTGCTGTGGCAAGTCTGGGACCAGCAGTAGCAACAGCAGCAGCCTCATGTGGAGTCCCAACTGGGTCTTCTCTGGTCCTTAAAGTCAGCATGGAGGGCAGGGGGTTCCAGGGTCCTGCAATAGTGGAAATAGGGAGGAGGACTGTTTGGCCATGCCCAAGTGGGCATACAAGTCCAGGGCAGTGAGAGCTGCAGAGCCAAGGCCCTCCTGTCACTTGGCACCTACGCTGCCCCAGCCCTATAGGGGTAGGGGAAGCCGAGGCAGGGGAGGTTCCCAAGCACAAGATGGTTCCCAGGAACTGTGGCTGCAGAGGAAAGACGGAGCCTGGCCCATTGGCACATGTCTGGTCCGAGTGTTTTGTCTTTGGGGACAATGCAGGGTCTCTGTGACTGCCTCCCTGGGTGTCAGTCAGAAACCAAGAGCCAGTGCCACAGGAGGAGGTAGGGTGTTTGCTCGACTCCTCTGGCTCGTCCACGCAGCTGGTGTCACTGAGGCTGACACCTCTGATGTCTCCCATCCTGGGAGAGGAGCACGCCTGCCTGCCACAGCATCACCCCATCCAAGAGCAAAGTCACCGCTTGGTACAAATGAGCACCGAGAGGGCTGGGTCTCCTGAGAGCCACTGCCTTCTACTTCCTTGGTAGCTCAGGGTTCATGGTAGACAGATGTCGCAGGTCTCTGCAGAACCACTTCCGCCTTCTGGCAGCCCCACATCATGGCGGCTCCCGCAGCCTGTCTGCCCCTTTGGAAGGACCAGTCCGCTTCTGTCTCCAAGCTCCCAGAGCCTGTCACCTTCATGAGGCGCCGAGCCTTGCTCCCTCGCGTGTCTGCGCTGCCCAGGGATTGGCCTCGTTGGCCCGGTCCATCCTGCCACCGCTTCTTGTGTGTCCCTTCTGCCACATGGTCCATCATGGCTGCGAAGCCCCTCCTGGTTGTGGCTGCTACGGCCGGGGTCCTCTCTCCCACCTTGCTCCCTGCACAGCCACTTTCCTTGTCTTCGTGCCAGGGCAGTCTTCCTGGTGCCCTGACATGACCTTGGTCTTGATGAGTCTTGCTGGGCGGCCCCTTCCTGGGGGGTTGGGGGACTGAGGCTCTTCCTGTGCTGACCCCCTGCTGCAGACCTTGCCCGCGGGACTTCCGTAACACACAGCTGCACCAAGGGTCTTCTCCTCTAAATTCCAGCAGGCAGCAAGCGCTCCATTCCAATCACCGCCTCAACGCCAGAGAGCCCCAGGAACACAGTACCCACTTGGCTCCTCCCTCTCCACAAACAGGAGTAAGTTGGTGTGGGTGGAGCACAGACGTGGGGGTGGCCAGAGAAAGCTGAGACAGGGGCCAGGACCAGGGCAGAGCAGCGAAAGCCTCCAACTGGCATTCCATACGAGTGTGGTTCGAGTCCCTGCTAATGCATTTGGGAAGGCAGTAGAAGATGGTCCAAGTGCTTGGGCCCCTGAACCAAAAGAAGCTCCTTGTTCCTGGCTTCAGCCTGGTCCAGTCCTGGTTATTGTAATTACATGGGGAATGAACCAGCAGATGGAAGATCTCTCTTTGCCTAACTCTGCCTTCCCTACCCCCCCTCCAAAAAAAAAAGAAAGAAAGAAAAGGTTGAGATTTGCTAAAGAGTAGGGGACAAAGGGGCTGGTCCAGGGATGGGACAGCGAGGGCAGTGGAAAGCTTTGAGGGCTGTGCAGGGGGAGACGTTGAGAGCTCAGAGAAAGGAGAATTGGAGACAGACCCCGTGGGAGGATGGTAAGCTGGGTATTGAGCAGGAGGCAAGCCAACAGAACAATGTTCCATGGCTCATGGTGTCCCAGATGCACAACTACGCCCACACCCTCTAAATGCTCAGCCTGTAAGGCAGCCCGACTCATTTAGTTTCTCTGGGGTCAGAGCCAGCAAACTGCAGTTGTCAAAATGCTCCAGTGGGGCCGGGGCTGTGGTATAGTGGGGTAAAGCCACCGCCTGTGACACCTGTGACACCTGCATCCCATATGGGCGCCGGTTTGAGTCCTGGTTACTCCACTTTTTTTTTTTTTTTAAGATTTATTTTATTTTATTGGAAAGTCAGATATACAGAGAGGAGGAGAGACAGAGAGGAAGATCTTCTGTCCGATGATTCACTCCCCAAGTGAGCGCAACGGCCGATGCTATGCCGATCCGGAGCCAGGAGCCTCTTCTGGGTCTCCCACGCAGGTGCAGGGTCCCAAAGCTTTGGGCCATATTCGACTGCTTTCCCAGGCCACAAGCAGGGAGCTGGATGGGAAGTGGAGCTGCTGGGATTAGAACCGGCACCCATATAAGATCCGGGCGCGTTCAAGGCGAGGACTTTAGCCGCTAGGCCACGCCGCCGGCCCTGTTTACTCCACTTTCAATTCAGCTCTCTGTAATGTGCCTGGGAAAGCAGCAGAGAAAGGCTCAAGCGCTTGCTTGTGCTCCTGTTACCTGAGGGAGGAGGCCTGGAGGAGGAAGTTCCTGGCTCCTGGCTTTGGACCGGTCAGCTCTGGCTGTTGTGGCCATTTGAGGAGTGAACCAACGGGTAGAAGCTCTCTCACTTTTCTTACCTTCTCTGTAACTTTGCCTTTCACATAAATAGATCTTCAAAAGAAATGCACCAGGGGGATCTTTTTTTTTTTTGTCTTTTAACATTTTTTAAATACTGGGGCTGCTGTCACAGCGATTTTATCAGATGTGCGTCCAAAAAAGATACAGACCAAAGCCATTCCCAGCCTAGCCCAGCCTACATCTACTCTCTCTTCTAGTTCAATTTTTTGTCTCCTGAGTTGTGCTCACAGGGCCCGTGCTGCCACCTGGACTCCCCAGTGAGGTTACCCGCATGCCCCCTCCCCTGCGTGGGGAACCTACCTGCCTCTCTTTCCATCCCTCTCCCACCTGGTTCTTACCTCAAAGCTCCCAGGTTCAGAGGCACTTTGGAGCCTGAAAGACCCAGCTGGCTGCCAAGAGGAATGACGGAGACAGGGGGTGTCCCTCGCAGTACTGGAAGGGGAGGAGGCGATGGGTCCAGGAGTGACTGCCACTGGTATTGATCAGGGCTAGGCACCAGGAGTGGGGCAGCGGCTGGGATCGTGGGAATGCACAGATAAAGACAAGTACTGAAATGGAAAGAGGAGCATCGAGAGCTTCAGGAGCACACAGAGCAAGGAGGAGCCTGAGGGTAGCCAGGGTTGTGACCTGAAGAGCACGGAGCCAGCGATGCCTGCGTGGTGGGGAAGGACTCAGGACGTGGGCTCCAATCAGGAGGATGAGGATGAAGGCTCCCAAGGTGGCAGGGAGGGAGGCAGAGGCCAGACACAGGGCGAGGTCCAGGAAGCAGGTGCATGTCCCTTCTGCGCTCACCAAGGCGATGTGCAAGGAGCAGTTGGCTGGTAGCTGCTTCCCAGGGCCATCGGAGGCCCCGGTCTTCTCAATGGAGCAGAAGGTAAGATACCCAATTGCCCATGTTGAGCCTGGGACCAGGATGGGCAAGTGACTTCCCCAGTGGTTTGCACATCTGGGCCTGCAGGTGGTAGCACAGAGGACTTTATAGAGTCCTTGCATGGCCCAGGGCTGGCCTCACTGGAGCGTCCTGACAACAGGCGAGGTTGGTGGGAGGGACTGAGCAGAGTCCAAGGGGGCAGTTCAGAGGTGGGCTGTTGTTGGCTATGGCGAGGCACAGGGTGTGGCCATGGGGCCAATGGCAGCGGCAGTGGGCCTGGTCGGGGTGTTGGATGGCGAGGTCACCCAGGAAGGCAGGAGCTGGGTGGGAGAAGCAGAGGCTCCAAGAAGGTCTGACCCTCGCCCCCTCCTCCCCATGCTGGGACCAGAACAGCCTCGGGAGGTGCCCAGGACCTGGCACACCTGGTATGGAAGGTTCCTGAGGGGAGAAGCAGAGGACAGTGCAGGGAGACCTCGGGCTCCAGGGAAGCTGAAGGGCACAGAAAGATTCTCAAGGGTGATCATTCAATAAGCATTTATTTATCAGCTGTGGGCTGAGGCTAGGCTGGGTGCTGTGGCAGGGGAAGGCCAGGTTGTTGGTATGCACAGGCACCAGACAGTGCAAAGGATGCAAACAGCCTTTGGGGGGGTCCCCACCCTGCCCAGGGGTCCCCATGGCCATCTGTGCTTGACCAAGAGCTAGTGGATGCATTCTGGCTGCTCAGAAGTATACCAAGGGGCAGGTGCACTTGAGGCTTTCAGAGGTCAGTCTGAGGGTGCTGCTTGGGTCACCTTTTACAGGGGGTGATGGTGGGGACGTGGGAGTGCAGGCACAGAGAGACTTCCGGTAGTGGGACCTGGACTTGGGTGACAATGAGACTGAATTCTTAGGGGGAGCTCTGACTGTAAGAATCTGGGGCGCTTTGTCTTTGGACCTGCAGGTGGCAGCACAGTTCCCAACTTCCTGTGCTGGAGCAGTCAGCCCAGGACCACAGCAGGGACAGGACAAGGCACTCCCTGAGTCCCCTGGCTAAGAGGGAGGTGGGTCACGAGGACGTGTGTACCCAGTGTGGTGGGCTAATAGCCTCCTCCAATTGGATAGCTGGTGTTCCTGCATGGGTACAGGGGCAGGGGGTCTATGTCGCAGGACTTGGACTAGTGGGTTCAGGGGGACACGGGGGAGTGGCAGGCCGGAGTCCTGGGGCAGGCGGCGGTGTGACAGGAAGCTGATCCTGTGTTGGTGGTTGGCGGTGCTAGGCTCTGGATGGTCGGCAGGTGCAGCCACTGCATCAGCATGATGAACAGGGGAAGGGGCCGACATCGGGGGGCAAGCCGCTGGGGGGTGTGGCTCCGAGGTCCTGGGGTGCTTCAGGTCCTTTCCAACACAGAACCTCAGCCTGAGGACTGGGCTTGGGGGCTCCCCTGGCCCAGGGCTCTGCTCTTCTGAGTCCCCTTCTCCCTCAGGGACAGGTGGCAGCCCAGCCACTGGCTCTAAGTCACCATGGGATGGCTTTTAAGGAGCTTGTTGCTGCCTAGACACCAGGCAGCGGTTGCCTTTCTGGGCCCTGGGACAGGGTCCCCCCGCCACCCCCGTGAGCCTCACACCCCATCCAGGGTCCCAGCTGGCTGTCATTCACTAAGGAAGGCTCCTTCCTGCCTGCCTCATGGAGGACTCACTCGGAGGACAGGGAATATGCAGGCAGGTTGGCTGAAGAAAGAGAGGGCACGAGCAACTGGTGTTTTGGAAGGGCCTGTGGGCGGTTAAGGAGTCATCCCCATGCACCCCGAGGCCAGTTGGAGGGTTACTCACTAAAGCTATACACGCCACCCCCCCTCCACTCCTCCTCCTTCCCGCTGGGGGAAGGCAGGAGCCCCAGGTTACTCACCGGTCTCTCCGGTCTCTCCGTGTCATCTGAGTCCTCGGAGCCACTGAGCACCACCACGTCCCCTGTAAGGGGGCAGGGAGGCGGCGTGAGGGAGCACGGTTGTGGGGAGGAGCCAACACAGGCACTGACCAGTGGGTACTCCTTCCATGTGTGTAGGGGGCGGGGGCACTGTGGGTCACTGGGCCACGCAGGGGCTGTGCACTTTCTGGCTGAGTTATCTGGGAGTTCCTAACACTACACGGGTGGCCGGATCACGCCTCCAGCTCCCATCTGGAATCTCCTGCACCCCTAAAAAGAAATTCAGCAGCACAGCGGCCAACATTGGGATGCAGTGGGTTAAGCTGCTGCCTAGGATGCCAGCATCCCGTACAGATGTCAGTTCAAGTCTCTACTCTGCACTAAGCACAGTGCTCAAGTTCCCAACCTCCTGCGCTGAGGTAGACGGGGGACTCGCCCGGGGCCCTTGGAGGCGGTACACTGCAGGACACGCTCCACTTCTAGCACTCATTGGCATGAGCTCAACTCCTGCCCAGGGATCAGCCTCCCTGTCTGGTGGCGTCCATCAAAGACAGCTCAGACCAAGTTGATGCTGAGGAAGACACTGCCAAAAACAATGGGCACCAGTGGGCCTTCCCTGCTGGGCGCCAAGCAGCTCGGGGACAGTGGGGGTGCACAGGGGTGTTGCTGTCCCTGGCTAGGCACTCCCCAGGGGAAGGGGCCTGGGAGGTACTACTCTCACACCTCCTTACCTGCCTCCTCTGTGTTGTCGTCTTTGTCACCTGCTGCGTGGTTGTTGTGAGATGGAGCGATATTGTTTCTTACGACGAGGCTCCCGAGGTCGGGAGTCCCATCCAAATGGGATTCTGACGCTGCACTGGAGGTGCTGGGCCTGGGCTGTTCCGGGGAGTTCCAGGCCGGCCACTCCTCCTCCTCCTCCTCCTCCTTTTTCTCAGACTCCAGTTTAATCATCTTGCTGGAACACTGGGTGGAGCAGGACTTCCTCTTGTCGCCCGGGCGTGAGTCCAAGTTCTTCTGTACCCAGCGGAGGTCATGGGGGGGGAAGAGGATCAGGATCAGTGGCCTGCTCGCTCCGACTCTCCACAGCCCCTGCTGGCCTCTCTTGTGGGTTGGGAGTGGCTGACAGCTCATGCTTAGTAGAGCCCCAAGCAGGTAACTGGCCTGACGGAGGCCTGGCTTCCCATCACACGAGGGGAGGGCCTTACCTTTCCATTGGATTGGTCTTTGATGGAGTAGGCGTACAGGGGCACTGGGTGGGCACCAGGCTCTGGCTGCACCACGGCCATGGACTGGGCATCCACCAGCCCCAGCCCCTCTATCTTCTGAGTCTCATCTGGCTGGAATGATGGAAAATGCTGAGTGAGCAACAGGCAGGTAGCAGTCCCCTCTAGGGCTAGGGACGGGCTCCCCATGTCCTCCCGCTCCCCTCATTCAGCCCCTCTTGCTGGTCCTGAATGGCCCTGAGGGTCACCTGGCTTTCTGTTGGACTCACTGCAGAGCCCTGGCTGCCAGGGGGCCAGACCTACCCTTGCCCGTTGTGTTCATTCAGGGCAGGCATGGTGCCCTGTGCCTCCTGTAACGGCAACACGGGCATGATGAAGGACCACACAGAGCGACAACAGGCATCTGGTTGTAGGTACCAGTTAGGGCACCGTGTCACATATCAGAGCACCTGGATCCAATACCTGCCCCTGGCTCCTGACTCCAGCTTCCTGCCAATATAAGCCCTGAGAGGTAGCCAGGATGGTTCAGGGCCTTGGTCCCCTACCACTCATACTGGAAGACCTGGAGAGAGCTCTGGGCTCCTGGTTTTGGTCAGGCCCAGCTCCACTGCTGCAGGGGAATGAAGCAGTGGAAGGAAACTCTCTTATGAATACATTTTTAAAAGATTTATTTATTTTTTTTATTGGAAAGTCAAAATTACAGAGAGAAGGAAAGCCAGAAAGATCTTTCATCCACTGGTTCACTTCCCAAGTGGCTGCAACAGCTAGAACTGAGATGATCTGAAGCCAGGAGCCAGGAGCCTCTTCCAGGTCTCTCACACAGGTGCAGGGTCCCAAGGTTTTGGTCTGTGCTCTACTTCTTTCCCAGGCCACAAACAGGGAGCTGGATGGGAAGTGGAGCAGCCAAGATACGAACCGGAGCCCATATGGCACATGTGCAGTGCTAAAGATGGTAAAGGCAGCCTTTGTTACTGCCCTGCCACCTGGGCACAGTGGACGGCCCCGCGGACACAGGAGGCTTGACCGCACTGTGTCGCCCTTTCTGGAGGGACTGAAAGGACAGAGTCCCCACAGCCAGGCAGCCGAGATGTGCCAAGGGCTCATGGAACTTTCCCTGTGGGGTGGACAGGAACATTCCAGAAGCAAGCAGATGGCAACAGTCACTTTTATGTCATGCGAACCTCATGGTTTGAAAAATGATGGTTAACAAAAGTAGACGGCAATGTTGGCATAGTGGCATAGCCGATAAAACCGCCGCACTCAGCACCAGCATCTCATTTGGTTGCTCCAGTTCCCATCCAGCTCCCTACTAACGCATCTAGAAAAGCAGCAGCGAATGGCCCCAGTGGGAGACCCCAGACAGAGCTCTTGGCTCCTGGCTCTGTCTTATCCTAGCCCTAGCCGATACAACCATCTGGGCGGTAAACCAACTGATGGAAGATCTGTGTGTGTCTTGCTCTGCCTTTCAAAAAGAAATCTGGTTGCTCAGTTGGCTGCAACCAGCTCATGGCGGGGGGCCTAGGGGCACGGGCTGCCAGGAGCCAAGGGGATAGTGGAGGCATGTGGGACCTAGGGACTCATGTCCGAACAGGCATAGTGTGCCTGGGGATTGCCCCAAGTGTTTAATCCCAGGAAAGACTGGGAGAGGGGAGAGCCCCAGGTTAGCATGATGGCCTGGTGGGCTGGTAGACCGGGCTTGGGGAGCTTTGAATGGGCCTGGATCTTGGGTGTGTGGAGGCCAGCACGTGTGCCAGTTGTCAGAAGGCTGCGCTGGGGAACCCTTGTACTCCCAGGCACAGGGGCTGTTGATTGGTCAGGGAAAGGGGCAGGGAGAGGTGGGTGAGGGAGGACCGCTGAGGGAGGGTGCTGCAGGTGAGGAATGACTTCTGAGGGACTCCCAACAACAAGGCCAGTGTAGTTGCAGGTAAGCGAGGGGGCTGAGAGTAGTGGTTTGGAGGGGAGGGGCCAGAGGACCTTTATGGGTTAGTTCGACATACCAGCCCACATGGAAGACCTGAGCTGGGCTAGTTAGCATGGACGACAGCTGACCACCACCACTCACTGGTGCATGTTAAAGCTATGGCTGAGGGACTGCCTGGCAGGGTTAGACCACAATAACTGCCAGCCAGTGTCAGAACGGGCAGGGTCATGAGAGAACCAGGTCAGGGAGCAGATTCTGTGGGGGATAAATGGGCTCACCCTGTGGAACTGCAGTTTCCGCTCATTAGCTTAAGAGTTGGGGGTGTTGATGGGCTGAGCTAGGCATGACCATGGAACCCTCCCAACACGATGGGTACTGGGTGGGGAACAGGCCAGGCTGGTCCAGGCTGCAGCACCCGCAGGTGCACCCAAGAATAGGGTGTGAGGAGAGCTGGGCTGCAACCTCTACCAGCTCATACAAAGGCCAGGATGGAGGGGTCAAACTATGCTGGGTAAGGGCCTAGCACCTACCAGAAGTGACATCTGGGTCTGGGGTGGGCCTGGCAGGGGAATTTGGGAAATCCCCTTGTGGACCATAACTTCTGCTGGTGAACATGTGGTTCAGGCCTGGGTGTCGGTAAGGCCCGGCAAGGTAGCTCTACCTGTCAGCAAGTGTGTGGGTTGGTTCTGGAGGAGGACAGACTGAGCAGGGCTGGGCCAACCTTAATCCACTGGCATGTGCAGGAGCCAGACTGGAGTGTAGATCAGGCTGGGTTTGGATATCACACTGACCAGTTTGCATGAGCCAGGGTTGGGAGTAGATTGGGCAAGGCTAGGCTACAGCACCCAACAGCAGGAGTTGGGACTGAGGGCGGGCCAGGCTGGGTCAGGCTGCAGCATCCAATGGCAAAGGACAAAACAGGTAATGGACTAAGCTGGGTCAGAGCAACCACTGGCATGTGCAAGTTCTGTGGCTGGAAACAGGCCTGGGTGGAGAGCTAAGGGGATGCTCCAGTTGGGTAGTGGTTCCCACTGGTAAGTATGAGAGTCAGAATAGGGGCAGCAATCTGGGCTGGACATGGCTGCAGTGTCCCTCGACCTGAATATGGACTGGATCTGGGATGTACCAGACCAGGTTAGATTTCAGCACCCACTGGTACTCCTGAGCATCATGGTGGGAGAAAGACAGGTTGGGTTATGTCTCTGTACCCGCTGAACCATGAGAGAGCTGTCTGGGTGTGGACCAGGTATAGCTGGGCTGTAGAACCCAACAGTAAGAACCAAAATAGATGAGGGCCAGTCAGGCAAGGCCACTGTTCCTGCCAGGACAAAAGCTGGACTAGGTCAGACTGGGTTAAGAACCCAGCAGTGTGTGCGAGATCTCCACTGGGAGGTGACCTGATAGAGTGGCTTGGGGAACTCCATTGTCAGGACACAGACCCTGCAGGTGAGCACAAGAACCAAGGCTGGGAGCAGCCCAGACCAGGCCAGGTTATGGTACCCACCAGCATATGTGGGGTCAAGTCTGGGGGCGGGCAAGTCTGGGCCAGTTCATAGTACCCACTGGCAGATGTGAGAATCAGGATGGGGTGCAGGACAGGTCAGGTTGGGCCACAACTACGGCCAGTTCACACTGAGCTGGACATGGCTGCAGCACCCATGGGCTGGAACCGGGGCAGGCCGAGCCAGGCCAGGCTACAGCACCCACTGACAAATGTTGAGGTGAAGCAGGCCATGCCAGACTGGGCCACAGCACTTATCAGCACATGTAGACCCAGGCAGGCAGGTGTGTGAGCCTGGTAGGGGGGCTGAGGAAGGCTCCCCTGCTGGGCCACTACCCCACTGGCTAGTATGAGAATTGGAACAGATCAGGCCGGGCAGGGCCATAATACCTGTTGACCTGCATATGAGCTGGGTTTGGAGAGAGCCAGGCTTTGCTGACTGTATCCACTGGTATATACATAGGCCAGAGTAAGTGTGGGCTGGTTGGGCTTTGCAGCATTAGCTGACAGGTGGTATTGGGGACAAGCCCTATCAAGCTAGACTGCAAGACCACCTGGAGACCATAAGATCCAGGACTGGGAGTGGGCCCAGGAGGGAAACTGTGGGCACCTCTCTGATGGCCTGCAGCTCCCCTGCTGAGCAGGAGAACAAGGTTTATGGCTTCAACACCCATTGAAATGCACTAGAGCTGAATGGGATGTGGGACAGACTGGACCAGTTTGCTGCACATATTGGCAAACACAGGAATCAGGGCTGGGAGTGGGCCTGGTAGGGGTTATTGATGGTTGTGTCAGAACTGAGCTTCCTCAGTGGCTTAGAGCAGTGGACAGCATAGTCAGATGCACATGGAGGATATGGCAGTCTATTGGAGCCTGCAGAGGACAGCTGGTGCCACGGCAGAGGGAGGAAGGCAGAACAAGTTGGTCAACTATTCCAGCCAAGAGCTGACAGCGAATAACTGGGTGAAAGGAGACTCTAAGATGGACTATGTCAGCCAATGGACCTTGGAAGGATTCCTTCATCCTTGGATCAGTGAGATCAACAGCATTTCAGAACAATCAAACTCTTTGAAAACACTTGAGCAGAATCCTCGGAGCGTGCTCCAAGTTAGGGACCCTTAGATAACATCGGGTGGCCATTCCCCATCCCCGGGTACCCAGGTGATTGGGAAGCCAGCCGCAGCTTCTCCCCTTCTCTCCCCTCTTCCCCCAGGAAAAAAAGACAAAGAAAATACGGAAACAATAATCTTACCACTTTCCCCTAACCCTCGACCCTTCCCATCCTAATCGACTATGTAAACATCATCAAAAGTAATATAAAATTAAAATCTCTAAAAATAAGTAACTTTAAAAAGTAAATGGGACCTGACGCGGTAGCAAAATGGCAAAAATCCTTGCCTTGCATTCACTAGGATCCCATATGAGCATTGGTTCATATCCTGGCTGTTCCACTTCCCATCCAGCTCCCTGCTTGTGGCCTGGGAAAGCAGTGGAGGACGACCTAAGGCTTTGGGACCCTGCACTCCCCAAATGACCACAACAGCCAGAGCTGTGCTGATCCGAAGCCAGGAGACTCTTCCAGGTCTCCCACGCGGGTGCAGGGTCCCAAAGCTCGGATCGGCATAGCATCGGCCGTTGCGCTCACTTGGGGAGTGAATCATCAGGACGGAGGATTTTTCTGTCTCTCCTCCTCTCTGTATGTCTGACTTTCCAATAAAAATAAACAAATCTTTAAAATAAATAAATAAATAAATAAATAAATCTTTTTAAAAAGTAAATGAAATATCATTTTTCGTACTTTTGAAACTGCACACAGGGCTGTGGGTCAAGAGTTAGCTTTTGCCCCATCCCTTTAGCTAGACCACAAGCCCCTCATAGCCCCACTGTGAACCTTGGCATCAACTTCTATGAAACAGAGTAACAGACTGCCTCCTCCAGGAAGCCTTTCCTGATTGCCTTCCCTGATACCATCTCCTATAGGTCATGTCATGCCCCTTGCCTCTCATCGGAACATCTGCCCTCCACAAAGGACTGGCCAATTCTGGACCGGGTAGTTCCAGGCCCAGTACTATCTGTTCCTCTAGCAAATCTGAGCAACAGGCTTGGAGAACCTGAGACAGCTCACACCCAAGGCAGAAAGTGCCAGGGAGCTTCCCACCAGGGAGGTGTGTGCACAAGGGCGGGACAGTGGGGTGCCCGTCAGCCCTAAAAGGTTCCAGAATCATCCCCCTCCCAGGGGTGGATCCCAGCTGCTGGGACCGAGATAGATTTTTGCCCCACTCTGAGTCCCCCCCGAGAGCCCCCAGTGAGCACCTGCCACACCTGACCGTCCCCTCTTTCACCTGTCCATCACACACCCAGAGCTCCTAATGGCTCGGTCGCCCAATCCCTGCCGATACCCTCCCCACTCCACCCCAGAGCAGCAGACCCCCACACATGGAAAGCCACGTCTAACCATTTGGTGGCCCTCATGTCAGTCACTCTTTGCAGACAACACAGCAGCCAGATCTCAAACCGCGCTCACCAGCTCTGCGCCCGGGAGGTCACTGGGGGTGTTGGCCAACTCTGGACTGACTTTCTTGGACAGAATCACATCTGGAGAAACACACAGAGATGGAGTTACCGGCATGGGAGGGATACCCTGGTGAGTGACAGGGGAGGTCCTCGGTGCTTGCCCCACACACCCATCTCTAGGGCACCTCCATGGAGGCACTGGCAGCTCATAAGGGACAACTCTCAGACCTCAGCGGGCACATGGCGGGGGAAATGGGGCATGCCTGCCCTTGGCTCTGAGCCCACTCCCTGCTGCCCCTAAGCGCACCTCTGCCGGTCTCTGCACCACTGGCAGAGCCCAGGATGGACAGCCCCGAAGCTGCTGCTGCTCACAGGCACTGTGCGCTCAGCCTGCAACCTGCAGCTGGTGGACGATGCCTAAGCACCCTCTCCCCTGCTTCAGAAGAAAGTGGTTCTGCTCCGTGCCCACCGCCTAGCCAACGCTGCTAGGCACCTGCTTTTTGTGGGGGGACCTCAAGCCCCAGGGTCATCTCCATTCCTGCACACAGGGGCTAAAATGATACTGGCTCAGGTTCCCACCTGCACGCTTTCTCAATTTTAGTTCTCAAAAACCACGAGGTCACAGGCAATCCACAGGGCTTTGTCAAGGAGTAAAACGTGCTCCCTACCTCACCCTGGGGTGGCCACACAGCCATTGCAAAGGACTTCCAGTCCCCTCCATCCTGGACTGAGCCTGGAACGTGACCACACCCAAGCAAGACTCCTGACCAAGCTCCAGGGGACTGTTTACCTGTTGCCTGGGTGACGTGAGAAACCAGGTCCTGCAGGCGCACCTTGATCTCGTTCAAGCTGTTGGTGCTCATTGCGGAGGTCTCTTGGCTCCGGGGCTCCTCCAGGCGCAAGCTGTTGAGTGCGCCCTGCAGGAAGCTGTGCATATCCAACACCTCCTGGTCCGAGGCATAGCGCTTCATTCTCTGCACCAGCAAGCCGCCCGTGCGGATGCGCTGCAGCACCGAGTCCAGGTGGCGCAGCTGGCTTGCCATCTCCTTATACTCGCGCTGGTAGCACGTGTGCACCGCCTGCAGCAGCTCGTTCTCCCGCTCCTTCAGGTAGGCCACCACTTGGCTTATGCGCTCCTGGATCAGCTTCTCGGCTTCAGAGCGCGCCCGGGCCAGCTGCTCCATGGCCTCATTCACCTGCGCGTGCGTCGCCCCGAAAACGCCTTCGCGCTCCTGCAGCGCGTGCGCCAGGGCAGCCAGCTTGTCCTGGCGCTGCTGGATCTCGGAGCTCAGGTCGCACTTGAGATCGCTGTGACTGCTGTCCAGGAGTGCGCATGAGCAGCACAGCGGCTTGTTGCAGCCCCGGCAGTAGATGCTGTGGACAAAGTCAGCCTGGTTTAGGGCTCGCCTCCATTTTTCCATAGGAAAACCCTCTTCTAAAATTGCCTGACCCTTGGGGCCCGCACGGTGGTTCAACACGCTAATCCTTCATCTTGCACTGAGAGCATCCCACAAGGCCACTGGTTCGTGTCCCACATGGGGAGCAGCGACCTAACCACTTGAGCTGACTCTCAGGGTCTGCATTTCCAGGAAAATGGAATCGGAAGCCTGCACTGGGATGGAGACACGGGCATTTCCACCTCCAATCCAAATGCCCACCCCCCCTTTGCTGAAGTACTTAGATAAAAATATACATAAAGTATCTTCCAGAGGCTGGCACTTTAGCATTAGCAAATTAATTAGCCTCCACCTATGGCACCGGGATCCCATATGGGCACTAGTTCAAGTCCTGGCTGCTACACTTCCCATCCAGCTCCTTGCTAATGTGCCTGGGAAAACAGCATAGGCTGGCTCAAGTCCTTGTGACCCTGCATCCATGTGGGAGGCCCAGAGGAAGCTCCTGGCCGCTGGCTTCAGACCAGCTCGGCTCCGGCCACTACAGCCATTTTGAGTAAACAATGGAAAATCTCTATTTCTGCATCTCCTCCTCTTTCTGTAAATCTGCCTTTCAAATAATAAATAAACATTAAGAAAAAATTTCCTAGTGGCTAAAGTCTTCACACGCTGGGATCCCATATGGGCATCAGTTCTAATCCTGGCAGCCTGGTTCCCTTCCAGCTCCCTGCTTGTGGCCTGGGAAAGCAGTCGAGGACGGCCCAAAGCCTTGGGACCTGAACCCACGTGGGAGACCCGGAAGAGGTTCTGAGCTCCTAGCTTTGGATTGGTGCAGCACCGGCCACTGTGGCCACTTGGGGAGTGAACCAGCGGATGGAACCAGTATATCTGACTTTGTAATAAAAAAAAATAAATACTTTAAAAATGTTTCCACTTGACTTTGAGCATATATCATGGTTCCAAACTTGGTTACGTATTCAATAATTATTAAATAAATAACCTCCTGACTGTAGAGATAATACTGCTAGACTACCAATCCAAAAAAAAAAAATCTAAAATGAATAAATTAAAAATGTTAATGCTGGGCTGATAGAACAAGAAAGAAAGGAGAATGAGAAGGAAGGAAAACAGGAGTGAGGAAGGGAGGGGAGGAGGAGGAGAAGAGGAGGACACGCCCGGATCCAGAAGCATATTATGCCAAAATATTCAATACCCAGACAGCGTGGGCAACGCACGAACTTCGAGAAGGGAAGCTTGGTCTTGCCTAAGTCGTTTCTGTGTGAATATTCGTTGCTGGAAAACAGTCCCACCATGTCTAGAAGGTTCTGAGGGAACAGGTGTGGCCCAGGGACATCACACTACCCCAGTACACAGGAGCAACGAAGGGCTTTCCTGACACCCAGAGACTCGAGCGCTGAGGGTTCCTGAGGTCCTTCCCCAGACAGGACACCTGTGCCTGGGCGACCTGCTCACACAGGTGCAGAATGTGGGAGAACTAACACCCAAGGACAAGCAGCAGGGCTGGGCACTGACCGAGGCTAAACTTAGGAGTTTAGGGAGCAACGGTCCTCAGCTCCCATCATCCCAACACAAGCATTGCATTTAAAAACAAGCTATAATGCCACCCCTTTATGCCTTTACTGAAAAGAATTATTTATTTAGGGTTGTGGTGGCTTAGCCAGCTAATCCTCCACTTGTGGCATCCTATCTGGGTGCCAGTTTGTGTCCCGGCTGCTCCATTTCCCATTCAGCCTGGAAAAGCAGCAGAGAATGGTCCAAAACCCTGAACCCAGGTAGGAGACCAGGAGGAAGCTTCTGGCTCTTGGCTTTGGGTGGGTTCAGCTCTGGCCATTGTGGCCATTTAGGGAATAAACCTGTGTATGGAAGATCTCTGTCTATGTGTCTCTCCGTCTCTCTTTGTAGATCTGCCCTTCACATTACAATAAATAATTTTTTAAAAAATTATTATGTATGTGAAAGGCAGTGATGGAGACAGGGAGAGTGAGATCTTCCATCTACTGGCTCAGTCCTCAAATGACTGCAATAGCCAGGGTTGGTACAGATCAAAGCCAGGAGCCAGCAGCTTCTTCCAGGTTTGGTCTCCCACATGGGTGCAGGAGCCCAAGCACCTGGGCCATCTGCTGCTGCTTTCCCAGATGCATCAGCGGGGAGCTGGATCGGAAGTGGAGCAGCTGAGTCTCAGACACGAAATGCCAATGTCACAAGCAGAGAGGTTTAATCTGTTGCACCACAATCCCTTTCCCCTTCCTCCTCACATCTTAACCGTTAAAAAAAGGAAGTTTCCCTTCATCCTGCAAGACTGTTTCAGGAAAACTATATTAAGAGAAAGAAACGGTGACTTTGAAGCACAACAAATCTAATTTCACTTGGGCTTCTGCTCAGATCCAGGGGAAGTTCAACATGCGAGCAGGTTGACTACTGGTAAGGTCAATCATGAGACTGGGCTTGCGGCACTCTCTTTTGCAGAACTGCTCTGGGGATTCGATGAACTGGAAGAGGGGAGAGGCTGCACCAGTCCTGCCCCCTCCCTCAACAAACACACCTCGGACACCCCCTCCTTCAACAAACACACCTCCAAAGGTAAAGCAGCAGCACCGTGTGTTTTAACGAGGGCAGGAGATCCAATCAGGGACAGAGCAATTGCCTGGCTCTGCCAGAGCTGGAAGGAGTTCACGCAGCCACCTGGGCATCCTGGCGCTCCCCTGGAGCCTGGTTACGAACCCATGTCCCACAACCAGGGTTCAGTCTGGCCGCCCTCCACACCCCTGGCTCTAGTTGGCTTGCTATGGCTGTGGGACCTTTCCCCCAAAATGCATTAAAGGCACTCTGTGGTTTTCTTCTTGCAGTATTTCAGACCCAGATCTTCCCCCTTCCGGGAGTACACACACACACTCCCTCCTCAGACCCTCAGCTCCACAGAACCCGTGACTCTGGCATTTGCTCATCCCACCCAAGGCTCCAGGGCAGACGGTGCCACCCTTTCCCAGAGAGGCCTCTGTGAGACTCTGCCTGGGACTCTGAGGGTATCTGTCTCCCTCCCTCCCTCACTGCCCTGGACTCAGGAGCTGCTGCAACCACGTGGTGCCCAAGAGGAGGAAATGCTGGTGTTTTTGGAGTGGCCTTGGAGGAGAGCCAGGCAGCAGGGCAAGAGTGTCGTGGAGAGCCAATCAGAGTCTCCCGATCAGCTCAGGGCAGAGGCCAGCCCCGCCCCTAATCACACAACCCACCAATCTGGCTCTTCTTTTTTGCTGCAACCAACAAAACCCCTATCACTAATGTACACAATTTGTTCTGTCAGAGGCAAAGCAGATGTCTCAATAGGACACTTCCACGCAGGTCCCCTGGCCCTCCCAGCTCAAGCACAATTCCCCTCCAATGGCCACAGTGCTGGAGCTGAGGGAGTCTCTGGGACGGTCGGGTCCATGCCGGAAAGCCCCGCCCCGTCCATGGATACACATATACACACGTGTGTGCATACGCACTATAATACATATATGTGCATGCATTCATCCACGCATGCACACACATATACACACACACCAGATCCACAGATGCAAACCCAGTGGGTCTGGACCTCAAGGCCTGCTATAGCACATGTTAGTCACAGACTACAGTGCAGAATCAGCATTGCACGTCTTGGCCCCACTGCCTTTCAATCCCTGTGGCTTCAGGTCCTGGGGTTCCTTCTTCTTTGGCCCTGCTTGGTTCCTGACCTTGGCCTACTGGTAAACATGGCAGCAACATTTTCCATTCTGTCCATTGGCTACAGCCCAGGTGCTTTCTGCTTTAGGTCTGGGGTCGGCCCTGGAGCAATGTCCCCTCGTCAGTTGGCCAAGCTGGAGGACCTGGCATGTAGAACCCCCACCTGCAGGCCAACACCACATTCCTGGCAGATGCAAGGCCCGCCCCCCCCCCATACCCTGGAGCTCCTCCAGGTTGGGAAAGCCTCAGTCTTTACCTCTGCCTGCCTGCCAGGCCTTGGTCTCCCAGTGGGGCGCCCTACTTCTTCCCCAGGGGGGGTCTTTTCCCCACACACTGCTGGTAAATACTCTTTAGAATCCTTCTGGGGGCCCAGGGTAATGGCTCAGTGCCTAAATCCTTGCCTTGAAACCTCTGGGATCCCGCATGGGCATTAGCTCTTGTCCCGGCTACTCCACTTCCCATCGGGCTCCCTGCTTGTGGTCTGGAAAAGCAGCAGAGGATGGCCCAAAGCCTTGGGACCCTGCACCCATGTGGGAGACCTGAAAGAAGTTCGTGGCTTCTGGCTTCAGCTTGACTCAGCTCTAGCCGTTGAGGCCACTTGGGGACTGAACCAGTGGATGGAAGATCTTTTTTTCTCTCTCTCCTTCTCTTTGTAGATCTATCTTTCCAATCAAAATAAATCTTAAAAAAAAATCCTTCTAGAACCCGTAAAAAGTGACAACAGGCATGGTCAAAGACAAAGGCAGACCCCCTCTTCCTGAAGCTGACCACTGGCATTGCCCCTCTGCCTTGATACCCATCACGGAGTGTCCATCAGATCCCCCTGCCATGAGGTACCCAACCCTCTGCCCATGCTGGATTCCACAGGAAGAGCACTGAGCAGGCCAGAACGTACAACATGGAAAAGGAGCAACAGAGTACATGGAAATGTCTGGAAATCTCAGAACTGCATCCTGTGTCCTCCACACCCCTCCTCTCCGTGGCCTTTTTATTTCCTTATCCACGTCCCTGAAAGAGCATCGATCTCTTGGCAGCTGCTTATTTTGCCAACCCAGCCTGGACAGGTGGCTGTGTTTGGAGAGCACATGCCCTATGTCCAGGGATGGACCACACAATGCAAAAGACAACCGGCGGAGGGCAACAACCGGTGGAGAAAACAAGGGAGCTGAGCAGGTAGCGCAGGAGTCAAGACCATCTGCTTCCTGTGCTGCGAGGTCCCAGTGCCACCTCCAGCTCCAGCTTCCTGCTGATATACACACACTGAGAGGCAGCAGGTGAGGGCTCGAGTACTTGGGTCCGTGGCGAGACCCCCACATTGAGTCCCAGGCTCCCAGTTTCAACTTCAGCCCGCCCCTAGTTTTTTGTAGCCTCAAGGAGGCATGAACTAACAGACTGATGAGTTGGCTGGCTTTCTCTCCTTCTCTCTGTTTTTCAAGCAGACATCCCCATTCTGGCCCTGGCTCCTGACTCCAGCTTCCCGGCAATGCATTCCCTGGAGGCAGCAGCGCCGGTTCAAATCCCTGCATTTCTGCCACCCACAAGGGCCAGCTGGCTGGCGCTTCTGACTCCAGGCTTCCGTCCTGACCCAGCCCTGGCTGCTGTAGACATGTGGGGAATGAACCAGTAGATGCTCTCTCTCTGTCCTGCTGCCTTGTAAATAAACCCAACCACCACGTAAATCAAGCCACACACACACAGAGCAGTGCACCCTGAGATGCGATCTTCCTCATAGGCACCACTGCAGGCTAGGTCCTGCCACACACGTGCACGCACCCAGCACCTGGTAGAGAACATGATGTAAAAGCTAGCTGAGGGGCCCGGTGGCCTGGCCTAGCGGCTAAAGTCCTCACCTTGAACGCCCCGGGATCCCATATGGGTGCCGGTTCTAATCCCGGCAGCTCCACTTCCTATCCAGCTCCCTGCTTGTGTCCTGGGAAAGCAGTCGAGGACGGCCCAAAGCCTTGGGACCCTGCACCTGCATGGGAGACCCGGAACACATTCCTGGTTCCGGGCTTCGGATCGGCATAGCATCGGCCGTTGCGCTCACTTGGGGAGTGAATCATCAGACGGAAGATCTTCCTCTCTGTCTCTCCTCCTCTCTGTATATCTGACTTTGTAATAAAATAAATAAATCTTAAAAAAAAAAAAAAAAAGCTAGCTGAGCAACTGAATCCCATAGCCCATCACCTATGTGACCTCACAGACCGTCCTCGGCTGCTCCCTGCGTGACAACTCTTACATCTGCCCAGTGATATGTGACCAGAAGGAAGTTGAACATTATTTAGATTCTGTGTACCCACCCCCTGAAAAAAAAAAGAAAACTAGTTTTTCCAGTAACCACATGTAAACTGGGATGCAACATGGACTTTCACAATTGCACAGGTCTTGTAGCGGGATAGTTGCGATTCACCTATTTTTTTTTTTTTAGATTTATTTTATTTGAAAACCAGAGTTCCAAGGAGAGGCCTTTCATCTGCTGGTTCACTCCCCAGACAGCCACAACGGCCAGAGCTGGCCCAGCTGCAGTTAGGAGCCAGAAGCTTCTTCCAGGCATCCCATGTGGGTGCAGGGGCCCAAGGCCTCGAGCCATCCTCTGCTGCCTTCCCAGGCTATAAGCAGAGAGCTGGATCAGAAGCAGAGTTGAACCAGTTCTCACATGGTATGCCAGAACTGCAGGCAGATAACTGTGTGGGGACCACACAGGTGCCGGGAGAGGGGTGGGGAGGACTCTGGGTCACTCCTCGAAAGGGATGACAACAACAACAATAAAAACAAACAAAAGACCCAAATACAGCTTCTCCACGGGTGACCCACCAGGACCGCCAAGCCCCTGGAGAGCCACTCAAGCTTGGCAGCAAGCAGAGAAGTGAAAGGCACAGGAGTAACATCAGCTGTTGAGGAAAGAGGGTGGACTCAGGCTGGGGTGTCCCTAGAGGCAGGCAGGGCACAGGGTGGGGTGGGTGGGTGAGCCAGGAACCCCTTGCCTCTGCAAGCAGATGCCCTGGAGAGCAGCCTCTGTCCCATATCCCCAGCAAGAACCTCACCCCAAGCCAGCTCCTTCCAGAGGTCAAAGCAAAAAAAAAAAAAAAAAAAGAAGAAGAAGAAGAGGAAATAAATAAACAATAAAAAATTTTTTTAAAGCCTAAAAAGCGGAAGCAAAACCACTGCTACTCTCCTCTGCATTACAGCGAAGGTGAAACTTCTGAAAAGCTCAGGGGATGCAAGGTGTAAAAAGACACACTTCTACTGGTGCAAAACTTTTCTGGAATTCCCTGCATGGCTTTGTCACAGCCCCCATTTTCCCCAAAACTTTTTTTGCATATCTTTGGTCTTCCGATACTCTGAAATTCTCAAAACCCATCCCCATAGCTCAACACCCCATCCCTCCCCCTGTGGCAGACAAAGACAGGATACAGACCCTGCTCTGTCTGTTTTATTTTTAAATAAATCTTGTTTGTGGGACTGGCACTGTGGCGCAGCTCACTAAGCCTCCACCTGCAGCACCAGCATCCCCTATGGAATCCAATTCAAGTCCTAGTTGCTCCACTTCTGCTCCACCTCCCTGCTCATGCTCCTGGGAAAACAGCAGCAAGCGGTCCAAGTGCTTGGGTCTCTGTACCCATGTGGGAGACCGGAAGAAGCTCCTGGCTCCTGGCCTCCATCTGGCCCAGCTTGGGCTGTTGTGCCTTTTTGGAGAGTAAACCAGCAGATGGAAGATTCTGTCTCTCTTTCTCTCTCTTTTGGTAATTCTGCCTTTTCAATAAGTTTTTCTGACTCTTATTTGCAAAGCTCCTACACGGCTCCCTACTTCAACATGGGATGACTATGACAATGGCACCCAGATCTGACCGCCGCTGTGGCTTCCTGCACGGGCTGCAGCTTTGAACTCTGCACCTGCTGCTGTAACCCAGCAGCTGCCTCCCTCCCCGAGAGTCTCTGGGAGACTCCACCGAAGGGCAATCTGGTGACACATATCTCCCATGGGGTCCCAGCCACGGACCCCAGCTCTGCAGTCTCTTAAGGGTCCAGGTGCTCCTCATGGCCCAGCCCCGCTGCTCCTGTCCCAGGGCCAGGCCGCTCACCTGGTCAGCGTAGGGGTGCGGTGGTTGGGGTTGGAGCAGAAGATGTTGTTGGACTTGCGGGTGCCCTCCAGGAAGTCAAGCACAGACTGGCTGCGTAGCTCGGCCAGCGGCCGGGCCTCGTGCTTCAGGAACCACTGGTGCGCCTCGAAGCACTTGCTGCACAGCAGCTGCTCACACTCAAAGCACCAGAAGTCCGCCGACTCCTTGCAGCGCGTACAGATGGCCTGCATGTCTACCACCTGCTTGTGCACGGCCAGGCGCCGCTGCAGGCTCTCGAAGAAGACATTATCCAGCACAGACGTCTCGTCTGGGGAGTGGGGTGCCTGGCACACAGGGCAGCGCAGGCTGGGCATCTGCAGGCACCCCGAACACAGTGTGTGCAGACAAGGCAGCAGCTTGGGGCACTTGGCCTGCGTCTGGCAGCCCTGGCAGTTCAGGAACTTGAAGTCTTCTGTGACCTGCTGAGAAGAACCAACGAGGAGGAGGAGAAGGTGAGACCTGGAGGAGTCCCAGGTGTCCTCCCCACCATCCTATCCCCGTAGCTGGAGGCTGGAATGGGACCTCGGATCCCATCCCGACCCGTCCTGTCCCACACCATCAGCAGACCAGGAGCCACTCGCTCAACACTGAGCCCTGAATCACAAGGACCTCCATTCTGGAAGGTAGATGCATCTCCTACAGTCTGGGAGTTTCCCAGAAGTTGCAGAGCATTGAACCACCTAACTGTACCCCTCTAAGCAGAAAACCCTAAAAGCAAAGCTCCACCAGAGCCAGAGACAGCCGCGTGCAGGGAAGCACGGCTCCCAACAGCCGGAGGTGCCAATGTCCCTCCACCGCCGGCCGGAGAAGCGCAGTGTAGAAGAAAGGAAATTCTACCACGCTTCACCGCACACATGAAGCAGGCAGTCAGCACACACTGCCTATGCTACACTCGAAAGGCAACAAACGGTACCTTACAGACAGGACTGACAAATTCGCCCAGCGGGAAAGTGGGTTAGAGGCGCTGGAGGAACTGGGAGCTGGGGGTTACAGCGCTGCGGTCAGGAGTAGGGGAGCACCACGGCTGTTCTACTATCACCAAACTTGTGCTCACGGCCAGGGATTGCTCACTTAGGAACATGTGGTTACTTTCCTGGCCTCTATTTCTCCATAATAATAATAATAGCAATAAAAAGAAACATACATGCATGCGCCCCAGAAGCATTGGTCAGGGAGCAGCGAGGCAATGCTAACTAGTGTGGTGACGGTCTGTTATAACAACGCAAGGTGCTGTCTGGGAGCTGGCCACCGTGCCTGTCGATCTGAAGGTGAAGGTGGAGGTGGAAGTGGAGGGGCCCGAGGAGGCGGGGCCTGGACAGAGAAGGCTGCGGGAAAGAGAAACCCAAGAAGCCACGCAGCCTGGGCCGAACAGGACACTCCGATCGGGCCCCAGCGTCCTGCACTTCCACCCCGGGTCCCTTGCGCACTTGAGAAAGCCCTTGGCGCCAGCCCAGTTTATAGGCTCCGGCCTCCACACTCCCCAACCACCTGTGTCCCTCCTCTGAGGCAAAGGGTGATGGGGGGAATGCCTCGGACCCCCTCCAGCCCTGCCCAGCTGTTCAAGTGGAGCGTCCCTTCTCCACCTTGCTCCGGTTTCCAACCCCAGTCAAAAGGCCAGGACCCCTCCTCATTCGTTCCCCTAAATCCAAGCCTACCTCCGAAGAACCGGAGCTGGGACTTCGTTCAGCGCCTTCGCGGGGCAACTCCGGCGACGGCATGATTGGGGTCTGGGCCTGGGGGTCGGAGAGGCGCTGCAGGGCTGGAGACCCAGCGGGCGCGGGCGCCTGTTGCATGGGTCACGTCTCTTAGTTTCGATTCTCGTGGAGGGCAGGAGAAAAAGCACCCGAGGATGAGTCAGCCCAAGAGGGGAGGAGTCCACCCGGAGCCCGCCCGGAGCCCGCCTCCAGGCAGGAGGAAATGACTTGGGGTGATGGGGGTGCGGTCTGCGCCGCAGGGTGCCAACGGGTTAGAGGGGAAAGAAGCGCGCAGAGCTGGGTCGGGGGCGGGCTATGGTAAGGGTGGAGGAAGTGTCCCTTCCCGGCTTTGATTACCGCTTCTGTAGGGTCGGGGGCAGGGCCAGGGGTCACAGACCACCCAGCAGGTGACGCTGCCCTCAATGACCCTAGCCCTGGTTGGACTGGAGAGAGGCAGTCACCGAGACTGAGGGATTGGAGAGCCGGAACCGCCTCTGATGTGGATTTATGGGGTTCCCTTATGGGCCCTCAGTGTCCATTTCCTTCACTGAGTCCACTGCTTGGTTAGCAGAGACCCTGGGAAGAAAAGTTTCTAGCATTTTGCAACAAACAACTCTGGCCTGAAGCTGGCGCTGTGGCATAGTTAAGTTAAGCTGCCACCTGCGGCACCAGCAACCCATACAGCCTTAGTTGGAGTCCTGGCTGCTTCATTTCCCAACCAGCTCTCTGCTTGTAGTCTGGGAAGCCAGAGGAGGATGGCCCAAGGCCTTGGGCCCCTGCATCTGCTTGAGAGACCCGGAAGAAGCTCCTGGATCCTGACTTCAGATTGGCTCAGCTCCAGCCATTATGGCCAAGTGGGGAGTGAACCAGCGGCTGGAAGATTTTTCTCCCTGGATCTGGCACTATGGCTGGATGGCTAAAATCCTCACCTTGCAAACATCAGGATCCCGTGAGGATGCTGGTTCGTGTCCCTGTTGCTCTACTGTGGGGGAGCCAGTGCCTCAATGGGTCCTGCCTAACTGTCTTACATGAAGGGTCACAGGTACATGACAAATTGTGTCCCCAGGACCATCTCCTGAGGGACCCCGGCACACCGAGCCTCAAGGCCACCAGCAGCCTACATGGTTGGCAGGAGGCCAGGGATCCCAAGGTACTTCCCTCCTCCATCCACTCTTTCTGGTAAGCTGTTCTGTTAAAAACAACTTCAGGATGTGGGCAGGTCACACGGTGCCAGCCAGAGAAATGTGTGACCTTAAGCTGATTGGCTAGGCTTGTCATGCGTGATATGTACTTATACCCATCCTATAGAATTGCTATTGCTCCCCTGAGGATTGTTTTTCTTGCCCCATCCTATATAATAAGCATGTGCTTGCTTGCCAATAAATGAAGTCGTTCAGTATACCTGTGTGGTGACTTCTCTGTAAAGACCACCACAGCTGTACCATCTTGCCTGTGTGGGTGGTTTTGACCACCAACCCTGCAACTGGTGCCAACTTGTTGGATGAGGGCTCAGAGCCTCCCTGCTGGATGAGGAGGAAGGGAGTCCGTTCTCCTCTTGGCAGAGCCAGGCACTCTACTCCCCTCGGCCTCTTAAGTAAGGCCCCTCCCCACTGTGGGGCACTATTACCCCTTTCCCCATTTTAATCTGCTCCCCATTCAGTTTGTCTTCGCAGTCATAGATTTACCTGCCGTGAATGGTGATAAATGGCCTCATGGGCCAGTGGCTGCAAGTTGATAAGGACAGCAAGCCTTTAAATGGGCTGCGGGGCAGCCCCCAGTCTCATCACCCAAAGGGGGAGCAGGCCGTCATCCACCTCTGGAGGATCCAATCAAACAGGTGTAGGCACTCCTGGCACCTGCTGGACCATCCCACAGAAGTCAATTTTTTTAAAATATTCTTTTACTTTAGTAATCTTCACATAGTTGATTAGGGCTCAAAGGGTCAAAGGCTACAGGAAAGTGGGTAAGACATTGTTTCCACGTTAATATTATTTTCTGGGATAAGGGAAGAGATAAAGGGAAAAGTCCCACCCATCCTCCCCCCCATCCCAGGTCCCCGACGTGGGGCACGCTCTGAGGGTCCTGCTCAAGCAGTTTTGATAGTTCAACAGGTCTGAATTCCTGCCAGTCTCGCATTTCCAAGCATGATGAAGTCACTGCAGAATCCACTGGCTGACATAGTCTCTTTATGGTTGGGGTTCTGAGATCAGCAGTTCAATTGGAGGGATTCCCCAGAGAAACTTTGTTTGAGGTGATCCCAGACCTGATTCTTGTGTGTGTTTGCCAGTACAGGGTCCAGCACTGTCCGTCACCCCAATCAGCTTATGCACATGCTGGTGGTTGCAATTGCTGGATCAATTCTGTTTCCAGACCTGTCTTCCACGCAAACTGGTGGGTATTGTAGTCCAGCCCGATCCTGCCCACTTCACACTCCGCCCTCACGCAAACCAGTTGGAGCTGCAGCCTACTAGGGGCAACTCCCCATAACCCCCACCAGGCCTGCCCCCTACCCTGGTTCCCATGCTTGCCAGTATGTACCTCAGGCTTGTTCAGTCTGCCCCACATCCCATTTAGCTCTCATACATGTCAATGGGCATTGAAGCCTAGTTCAACCCAACCTGCCCTACTATCCATCTCACACACATGCTGGTGCGTGCCATTTTGTCTAGCCACCCCGTCCCAATCCTGGTTCTCATGCTCTACAGTGGGAGTTGTAACTCAAGAGGGAGGAGCCCACTATTTCTCTCCTAGGCCACTCCCACTCCCAGAGTATGCACTCTCCAGGTGGTTCTGTGGTTTAACTTGACAGAATTAGCTCCCAGTACCAGCCTCTGCCAGCTGATGATGCGGCTAAACCCAACCAACATTCACCCACTCTAATTTATGCTTGTACCAGTAGGAACAGTCAGCCCAGCCTGGCTTTTCCCTGATCTAGCTCACATGAGGCCCACAGGCATTGTACCCTGCCTGGTTTGGTCTGCCCCAATCCCAGCTCACGCTCTCCAGTGGGTGTGGCTGTCCAGCAGGGGAGCCCTCAACATTCCCCCTACCAGCTTTGCCCCCTCCCTTCCTGGTCTCATGTGTGCTGGTTGGGTGCTGCGGCCCAGTCTGGTACGGCCCACCTCACCTTGGCATTTGCTATGGGTGTTGTAGCCTGGCCTGGCCCAGCCCACCCCCAATTCCAGCTGACGCTGGTGAGGGTTATAGCCTAGCCCAGCAGGCTCCGAATCCCAGCTATAATGTGCCCTGATATGTGTTGGGACCACACCTGGCCCAACTCACACTGTTCTGGTGGTCGGATTCGCGAGCAGGTGATGTGAACTGGTTCAGCCTGGTCTGCCCCTGACTTATGCCAAATGTATGCTGGTGGGTACCTTTCTCTGGCCTGGTCTGGGCTGCTCCCTATCGTGGCTCTTGCACTCACCTGCCGGGTCTGTGTCCTGCCAGAGAAGTTGCCCAGGCTCCTCCATCAGAATCTCTCCCATTGCCAGACCTCGTGCATACCAGTGGATCCATGGGCCAGCCCTACTTAGTCCACCTCCTTCCCATCAGGAACATTGGCTTTTCCTGACTGGCCTTCAACCCAATCTGGTTCTTACTGTTGGATGTTTCAGCCCAGCCACAGCTTATCCATACCCATGTACAGCTCACACATGGCCCAGTAGGGCCAGAGACCTAGCCTAGTCCATCCTATATCTACCCTGGTCCTCCAGAGCACCAGATGGTGCTAGAGTCTAGCCCAACCTGGTGCGTCCAGTCCCATTCCACATTTGTGCCAAGGGAGACTGCAGCCATGTCCAGACCAGAACGCAGCTCCCACTCCAGCCCCTGCGCTTCTCAGTGGGAATCCCAATCCTGTTGCGGTGTCTTCTTAGCTCCCCAATTGGGCCTGTTCCCAACCATAGATCGCGCGCATGCCAGTGGTTGCAATGACCCAGCTTGGCATAGCCTCTCACCTGTTTTGGCCTTTGCCTTCGATGCTGTGGCCTAGTATCCCTGGCTCATGCAGACCCGTCGGTGTAAGAGCCTAGCTTGGCATGACCTGTTCTCCATCCTAATTTCTGTTCTTCCTTGTGAGTTAAGACCTGCCCGGTCTGCCCCCTTCCAGTTGCAGCACAGCCCACCCCACATCCTGTTTTAGGATGCACTCTCAGGTGCTGCTGCCTTGACCTGTCCAGACTATTGTCGGTTCCTTTACCCCTAAGTGGATGGCAGGTTCCATGGTCTCACCTAGCTCAGCTCATCACCACCTCAACTTGTGAGCTAACCAGCGAGACTTGTATTTACACAGGGTTGGGCCCACACTTCCCCCACAGAATCTATCCCTGGATCTGGTTCTCTCACTTATTGATTAGTGTCTTGACCCTGCCTAGTGTGACCCATCCTCTGTTCCACCACTCAGGTACTGGTACCTAGCCCTGCCAGACAGGAACCCATCCATAGCTTTTGTGTCAGTGATGCTCTACATTAACAGCCCATCTCAGGATTCCCATGTGGGTTGGTGAAATAGAACTTACGGACTCTCCCATCCAAACCCTCAGATCTCAGTCTCCATGCTTGCAAGCAAGTCCCGTGACCCCATCGCTAGGAATCACACAGAATTCATCCCTCACCTACACTCACACTGGCCTTATCCCTGCATGTCCCTAGGCAGCAATTATATACCCTAAAACCCTAGAGCTCACCGCCGGGCAGCCAGCAGGCAGAACCTGGCGCCAAATAGGCCCAAAGCCTAGGACTCAGTCACTGTGCGGCAATGGTACCCATGGGCCGAGTCCCGGGCATTGGATCTGACCTGTGTCAGGTACTCACCACCACTATAGAGGGCTGCTGTCACCTGAGCTGGGAAGTCACTTGTTAAGCCCCGCATGCCTGTGTGCATAAATGGAAAGGTTTTTTTTTTTTTTTAAAGGAATAGCAGACTCTCACACAAATGTAACAATCCTGTGGCAGGAGGAAATTGCCCTGAGTGGGAAACCACTGTGGGGCCTGAGCTGATAGATGCTGGGGTTGGGGGTTATCTCCAACCTCCAACTAAAACATACTGTGACCTGGAGAGACCCTGCTGGCACATCTAGCCTTCAGCTGCGAGCGGATTAGCCAACCATCTTTTCAGGCAGGATTTGTTGGGAAGTATGGG